GTTACTTCTGGTACACTGTGACTGATGGTCCTAGTGATTATTTTCTTCACCTCCAACCAGTGTTCATCTATTGTGAGATGAGCCCAGTCTACTGGCCATGATGCATTCGTGAGATAGTCCCTCATGGTCTCATAGGTGACCTTGCTGTTGGCACGGAAGGTGTTGGGTGTCTCCAGTTGCAGAGCCTCCCTAGGTATCATGGAGAAGGGAATTACAGCATGGTCACTGAGGTCAAGGGGAGGTTGGATGCAAACGTCCTCAATGAGAAGTTCATCGTTCGTCAGAACGTAGTCAAGGCGCGATGCGTTTCCGTTAGGTCCCCAGCGTGTAGCATCACCCTCTTTCTCTGAGAGGCCAGCAGTCTTAATTGCATCCTTCAGCTTCTGATTGAAGGATCTGATGCGTCTCCCTTCCATCTCGAAGAGGATGGACGGGGTGTTGAAATCGCCGGCAATGATTACGGAATAGTCATTAGTAGAGTAGTGTGTTAAGATTGCCTTGATGACCATTTCCTTATGTGTAGAGGAGCTTGTGGAGGACCGACATATGACTCCGAGCAAATATTTTGCACGGTGGAGAGTGAAGTAGCACCATATAGATTCTTGGAGCTGGGTTAGGGCCGTATCGCTAACCACCCTTACCTTTAAAACGAGGAGTTTATGCTAGAGAGCCACTCCCCCCTCCTGCTCTATGTTCCCTGTCCCTGCGAAAGAGTTCCACGCCTGTAACATGCATCCCTTCGTCGGAGATATTAGGGTGTGCCTGGTGAGAGGGGAGATCTGGCTGCGTATTTTCGCCGGATGAGCGCTACCGTGGTTGGGTCTAGCCCCGCCGGTCCTCATGGGACTGACATTGTTCCGTTTTTGTTTTTTGTTTTTTAGCTTGGGTGGGGGCTGTGGCAGTGGTGGCTTCTTTACTTGATGTATCTAACTCACTGGTCGGTGTCTGTGTGTCGACCACTGACTCCAGAGATCTTGGTGGTTGCCATCTCTCCTCTTGCCTTGCTGGTCTAGGCTTACTTTCACACATACATATTGAGCCATCCATGCGACCTTTCGCATTATACCATGCCTGTAGAACGTCTGTGAGGGAGGCATACGAGTCGAGCTGGACGGCGAGTAGTCTGGGAGTGGGTATTGTCTTCAGATGCGCTGGCCTAGGCAGTCTACTGACGCTGTTGGCCGGTGTACTGGGGAGACCAACTTTGGTCGAGGGTCCTTGTCATTGTTGGGCGTCGTGGAAGTACCGATCTTTAACCGAGCGGTCACTTGGCAATTCTGGAATACCATGTACAACTATAGTGTTGTTTCGGTTGGGATTTCCAACCGCTGACTTTCTCTCCTCCTCTCTTATTCACCAAGGCTTGTCAGGCCTGGCCCGAATTTTTCGGGCATTAACAACGTCCGGTTGTCGCGAGAGAAGGAGTGTGTCTTCAGCCTCTTTGGCAGTATTTGTGGACATGTAATAAGGGGTAGGCCTATCTCAGGATGCACGGCTTCCTCGCGAAAGGCGACACAAGGTTGCAGGGAGGGTAGGGAGTCCCAGCAGCTGGAGCTCTGGGTCTGTTCACAGGTCCCTCTGTGTTATCCTTTGGTGTTAACCCTACTTTATTCGAGGATGCTAGTAGCTTTTGCGTGGCGGAGAGCATCTCCCTCAGGCTTTCTGTGCGCAGTGCGGGCATTTTCCTGCACTCTGGACAGATGTACCAGAACCACTTGCATGGTTGTCTCTTCATCAGCTTATGGCATTGTCAGGGGACTTTGGTGTCGCAGTGGCAATGAGCCCATCGGTGACACAGGTTGCAGGCAAATGCCTCATCGACTACCGAAACAACTTTGGTGCAAACACTGCAGCCATCGGGTGTCGTAATACAGCCTTCCTTGCATGAGTAAGGTGCTACGGATTAAGGCGAACTGCTTGTGGCTGCCTTGTTCTGAAGCCTTTTACGTCGTCTTCTATTTCCAGGCATGGTATGATCCTTGCTCAAGATGGGACTAGTTTGTGACGGGCTAGTGCTACTCTGTGTCACCTGTCTGATGGCGACTGGAATTCTAGAAAAATGGGTTGGCTACTTCTTTAGAAGTCTGGTGTTCTGCCCTACCTCTGTTTGTCTACGAGTACAGACTAGTGTGTTGTTTCGGGTGTTATCGTCCCTTTTTGTGCACGACCGTGTTATCCGTGTCAAAGCTTCGTGTCTAGCGTTTTAGGCAGACATGTCGCTATGATATAAACTTCTTGGGAAAACAAATAGTTAACAGAAATAACAGGGTTGAAGACTGAATGCAGGAAAAGGACAGGACAGATCAGGGGATGTCCACCGTATTTACCTTCCATTGGGCGAGTCGTTCCACCGTACGGGCGTCAGGAAGTTACGGTGAGTGCTCAGTATCCGTTACTTCCGTCTCTAGGATAATATCTGTTGAAACAGAAGCGCTTCAGTATCCACTATCACTACTGAACGAGGAACTTGACGAATGCTTTATGGAACACAAGTAGCAGATATTCGAGACGAGTTTCAATTTTTTCGGGTGGTTTTGTATACCGTGCCAGGCACACTTTCTTTCTTAGAGCAGGCTATATATTTGTAGTCATCGTAATGCACAACTAGCAGTAATGTTGTAACTTAATCTTCCCTTCGGTGTCCTGTTTTTCATTCCAAAATATATGGCGCTAGCACCACTTTGAAGAAGTCACATGCCCAAGAGACTGCTGTGGCTTATTAAGCTGCTTACAAGTTGTATAAATTACTCGACTAAAATGGTGGTTTAACCTAGGATGCTGCCTTATTAAGAATACGATATTTTCGTACATATCTTGTATTATTCCCCATATTCTATGGTTTACCTCGCCGTAAAGCTAGGCCAGTTCAATATATACGTGTACATACGATTACCAGGATCCAACACCATGATGCAATGGTGGTCCCTGATATTACACAGCACATAGTGCAAAAGTGTTCTCAATTATGCTTGAAAGGGACCCTACCACGGTCACTTTTCAGCTGTATTTCCTTTTGGATTTATTTCCCGATCACGCCAATAGTCACCGGATGTGACACAAAAGGTAACGCCTGGTCATGTAATCAATTAGTTTCTATGAATTAACTTGTACTCCTAGCGTCTCACCAGCAACTGCTTGATGTTCTCCTTCGCACATAAATAGCCAGACCTTGTAAACAAGATGTGACGTCTGGGCCAACTCTTAGAAAAGTAACAGGGATATATATTAGGTTTTATAGCTGTTGTTCTTGCAGATAGGAATGACTTCGTTAACTCGTACTTTGCGCTGAGTTTCTGCACTGGTCTTAATTCTTTTCGGGTCAGAAGAAGGTTCAAGAAATACCTTATGTCATCTGAAGACAATAGTGATCAATAAACTGGTAATACACTGACATTTTGTTCAATATTTCCCAGTTTGTGGCTGCTAGGCAACTTTAGACCTAGTAAGTCTTGAGGTTGTTGAGACCTGCAACCGAAGCTGTTATCCTTCTCTTTGGATCCTATTGTCAGGACACTTGCTCATCTACTCGTTATGCCTTCATGTCATAATCGGGTTCTGAGAGATTACAAAGATGCCATAGCAGGCTAAGATTGAGGGTGGATTACGGGTAATTTATGTTGAGCCATGGTCTCACTGATTCTTTCGGTTGAGTTACCAAAGAATTGAATAAGGTCATCAGTGATGAAGCACAGACTCACGTAACAGATTATGGCCTCACATGGTTACAATATAGGCTTTCATGCTGATCTTTAGTGACTGTCTAATCTTCTTGTGGTGACAGAGGAGTGGGTTGCAGCTTGTGACTATAATCTGCTTACTGCTGATTTGCTTACTAGCTAAAGTAAAGCTTTTGAAGGGCCACTGCATTTCCAAGATATTAGGAAGCTGTTCATTTTCGGGTCTGAAAATACGCTGCAGGTCTGCACTGAAGAATTTCTATGAGACATGTAAAAAAAAGTGGGGATTAATTGGACTTTATATGAGCTTCAACCTGTGGCGAACGGAGGTTCTAACAAAGGGGTTTTGAGTCTGCCCCTCATCCCACTCAATAAAAATTATTTTCGAATATGATTCATTATTTGGTATTACTACCTGCCGATGACGTAATAAAACGGAAGGTTATTCTTAGAAAAACGTGCTTATGTGCAAGACATGAAAATGAATCTGATCGCATATGCTCGGAACTTTAATCCGGCACTTGAGTATCTGTACGTACTGATCATAGCAGATGCCATTATTGTGCAATGGACAGACTCCAGTACCTGACATATGTGAAATCAAGGACTTGGAAACCAGTCATCTGCACACAGCGGCGAAGCTGGAGCAAGTAGGTCCTAGATACCTCTTGGTCTCTTCGTGAGGCTTCCAAAAGTTTTGACGAAGTATGTTCAAAGTCTTGATACTCTCGTTTGAGCTACCTTACCTTGAAAACTCTGTTCACTAAGCCACCTCCCTCTTCGAAAACAGTCACAGTTCCTGAAGCTCTGGAAAACAGTCGCAACGGGTCGTTTGCCCGCCTGTATAAGCGGCTGTATGCGGAGAGTCTGGACCTAATACGTATGTTTCCATTGTCTTATTTTTGAAAAGTTGACCTGACAGCGGCACTCCACAACCGTAAGCGTGACCTACAAACTTATGTCTAACTTTTGCTTTTCAACAGGGACATTTTGTTATCACCCCAAGCATCAGCGAAGAACTCCAAGATCGCGGTGGAATGAGTTTAATAAGAAAAACCACTTCTCACTCACGGTAATTAAAGATTAAACCCTTCTTCTATAAAGTGGTGAAGTCAAAGAATTGAAGAAAAAACTGAAGCTTCAATAAATGTAATGTAAGAGTTATCGCCAGCTTAATCGAACTCCCATCCTTATTTTCGAAAAAAGTTTTCAACCTTATGTCTAAAAAATTAATAGAATATCTCTTTCTTCTGTCCAATTTTCGCTTTGTTTTAAACGTCTGCAAACCTAAGTTTTCCATTTATTCACTTTTGGTTGGTGAAGGTAACTCGTGGTATTATTCGCGAGACGATTACCACTGTAGCACTGTAGGTGTCGGTTAGTTGTAACTGCATTATTTACTCGTGTGATTCTGTGTCGATTCCATCTTCGTTTATTTTGCATGACAGTATGCTATTATTTTGTGTTTTAAGAAATGTATCTAAACTTGATCGTGTTTAATCGAAGTCCGCTGTATATTAAAACTGTTCTGAATGTAGCAGCCGCTTTTCTATGGAACTTTCGTCATTCAAGATGGTGTATATACTTTCTTATATAATTATGCACATCACTGTTTACTGGAAAATGATCATTCTTACCTTGCTGAGGACACTAAGTGGCTTTCCAGCCACCATTTGCTTCGGGTGCACATTAAAAGTTTTAGGCAAAACCTTAAATTTTTACTTCGGACGCAGATAGGGAGATACACGGCATTTCCTGAGACTTCAAAACCTATTACTCGAAAGGTTCAAAAGTTCCTAAGTGCACCCAAATTGTATGCGATGCGCCCGAAGTACGCCAAGTGTAGGTAGCGCGCCTAAGTTCTGAGAGGCCATATTTAGTAATATTTTTATGTGTCGTTCATGTTTTACTGCTGCACGTGTTTATAATACACACTTTTGAAGTTTCGGGAAATACCATGCATCTCCCTATCTACGTCCGAAGTAAAAATTTAAGGTTTTTGCCTAAAACTTACAATGTGCCGTTTTTACTGTAATAAAAACGGCCAACGGAAGTGACTGAAACATTTAAGGGACCTTCGCAATTTGGTAATTGCGCCCAAAGTGGATGCTGGCTGGATTGTTAACTGTTGTATATTGTCATAGCTTGAGGATTTCTCGTCTTTCCTTGAACCGAATCTACTGACCGCTATTGGCATAAGTTCTGTTTTGCGAATGCTTCATTGTTGTTGATGATTTGTTTTGCACTAAAGATGGATAGTTGCAGTCAGTAATGTCGAAAATGCATTTCACCTTTTCTGGAGTTTAACGTACCCGGCTTTGGTGTTTAGAACTGGGTGCTGGGTAACATTTTTAACCAAATCTCCCTATCTTGGCTACTACATTTTGATTCATCAGACACTTTGTTTCTAGATGTTAGGTTCTTGGAGGTAAAGTTATTGCTGGTACTTATTACTACCTTGTTTTATTTGATTATTTTATTGCTGTTTCATGGATTATGTGAATAGGGGGACATGTGTTCCGTAATGGGCCATTAAAGCATAGGCTAACTGCAGTCACCAATGTCTTCATATTCAGATGTCCGAACAAGTCTTAACTGTGACAGTGAATTTTATCTATCTTCTGTTTTATATCCTTTAAGGTCTGTGCTATGTAATCGTAATCAGGTCAGTACTGAGCAGGATAAAGTACGATAACATTTAGGAATGCTGTAAGAGTTTTCTGCAGCGTCCGTTTCAATTAACTGTAACCATTTGTTTTATAAACTTCCTGACTACTTGAATAATTTCAACTTTCGATCTAACAAGTATAGTGCCACAAATTATTGGTACACTATGGTAAAAGATGATTTACTGTTAATATTTCTCGGTAATAGAAAATAATATTCGAATAAATAGTTTAGTAATTTTGAGTACTTAGTAACTCTTCTGTTATTTATTTTACCGCAGTTAATCCTAATTCAAGATATGCTATGATGTATCAATGTTAAAACGGATCTTTGTCAGCTGAAGTTCGTCCACATTTTGTTTACCAATGTTCGGTGTTGGTAGCTTGTGTTAAAGTAGGATCTCTAGTTTTACAATCTATACACAGAACTATCAATTCCCACAGTTACTGTAGTAAACAAAGTTTTGCGTAGTGATTGTTCCTTTGTTCAAATTGGATTTACTTATCTGTTGCAAAAACTGCTCAGTTTTGAGAAATCTAAACTAATCTTGGCTTTTTGTAAATCTAACAAGTATTAGCTAACAGCCTTATTGCATCTTTCAAGTTCTCGGAATTGTTTTGAAGTCTGATTACTTCCTCAGGATGTTCTTAGTGTAAGAAGAACGCTAGTGATTTATATAGAGGGAATCTGATGTTATTAGCATCGTTGAAGCTCAGTGCAAAGCCATCTCAAATAGAATGAATGCACGCAGTTACTCTTGTTCTAGTTTAGCACAATACGTAGTTGTCTACCTTCACCATAATTTTACAATCCGTAAGTCGTAAGACTGCTAAGAAACGGACATGTGATGGAGAGGAGTCTTGTGGCTGGCAGCTGCTACACTGAAGTGATGACCAGGCTTAGATGTCACAATGGGCTATGCTTGACTAGCTGTATTTCATAATTTGGAGGGAGTATTCGACTACATCGACCCAGAGGTGTTTTGAAAGTGTTTCTCTCTGAAAAAGATGCGATTATATACAACATTTTGTTAAAGGATGTGTAATCGATCAGCCTTTGAGCGTTTTAGAGCCTGTAGTGAGTTATCAGGTAAGTTATGTGCCTCGAGTTGTATGTCCACTCTCTCCATTTTTACTCACCTTTAATATAGACGCTCTTCCGGAGGTCTCGTCGTCTAACTCCACAGAAGTTCATCCAATCACAGCAGAATCTTTGGTAAATTTAGATTACGCAGATGACATACTCCTGTTACCTGAAGTCAGTGACAAAATGCAGAGTTTTCTGGATACATTGAGTAGCAATTTGTAGTGGTTTCACCGCTTCGGTAATGTAGAAGTCAAGTATAGAGTTTTAGGGAGGAGAGGCAAATCAGTTGGTGTGGTTGTGAATCTTCGTTGACTCAAGGGGCTGGGACGTGTGTTAGGTATGCCTAGTCACCGTGTGCTTCATCGCGCAGTTATGTGAAGTAGGTTTAGGCCTCAAAACGGTTAGTGGTGGCCAAACTGAAATGGGATATCAGTCGATGATGAAACATTTAGTTGTTGGTCTGAGTCGTAAAATAATGTAGGCTTCTCTATTGGGGTCTGCGTGACAAAAGAAACCAGTGGTTGAAGAGTAGGTGAAATGGCTTGGAATCACTCTCATTGGCGCTGGTGCGTTCATACATTATGCTAATCTTAATCGGTATACTGAATTCAGTACTTTCTTATTCTAACTTGTTATCTTATCACGACTTTCTAACACTTTTGACTGCTATCTTCTCTACCTCTTCACCTTTCATCTTAATGCTTTGTCGTTTGATGTGGTGATGTTAGGTGTGGCAACGGGAATCACTACTAAGTAATGCCTCGTTATATGTTGATCTTGTCTGTCTTTTGGCTTTAAGTATGCGGACAATATCGTTTTACTGGGAGGTAACATACAGACAATTAAAATAGTACTTATCAGTTTGCAATCAGTATCTGTAAGCAACGTGTTAACTTTGTACCATCGAATGGCGAAGTAATATCGTGGGTGCAGGTAGATGCAATCACATTTAAGAGCGAATCATGGGAAGTAGTTGAAAATTCCATGTATCTGAATAAATGCGTGAACACTGATAATGCTTTGACTGGCGAGGTTTCCTATAATGTATCTGAAAGTGAGAATAGAGTACTGCAACTAAATTCACCTCTGGCTTACAACAGTAGTCTGGTCACCAAAAATCTATGATACAACGCTTCAACACAGGAGATCCTGCTTTAAACCTAGCTGCTTTGATCTAAGTTGACATTTTTCTGAGACGAGATATCGACCGATTATCACCAGACCGGTAGGTTTAGGGGTTTCATTAATAAGAGTTGAAAACGCTGAGAATCTTTGACGACTCAGTGTTCGACCACTGCTATGTGTGATCACATTCAGTTAGCAACATCATATGAATAGATCTGAGGTCTGGAATACGTGTTTAGATCTAATGGAGATCGTTATTCAATAATTTAAATCACTTTGAGAAACTGAGTTGGGTAATTTGTATCATAATCATGCAACGCAGTAACCGTGTGCAGGTTCATGCACTAGGCAGTGAGCCACCTTTTGTGTGGGGGTTGATTATACTATCTGGCTTCCTATATCTTTTTAAGTGGGGCTAACTGGTTGAAAGCCTTTTGTGTAGGCCAAGAAACTACAGCTCTAAAAAACCAACCAATCACATCAACGAGGCAAAATCAAACCACCTAGATGCACAATAATGGTTATTTTCCGTTTTTCGTCTTCAATGAGCAGTGAACTCGGTAGTAAGCCTAATTGAATAGTTCTAGTAGAACTTTGTTGTGCTAAATAAATTTAAAATTTTCTTATTTGCCTTCCTTAAAATTCTATAATTAGTGTACTTTCCTCTCTTTTAGTATTTATGCCACCAGTATGAACGACAGTGTTGTTTGTCTCTTTGATGTTGATGGGACGTTGACAAAACCGCGAAATATTATAACAGACTGTATGCTCGAGTGCCTACTTAAATTATCTTCTAAGATACCTCTGGCTGTTGTTAGTGGTTCTGATTTTCCTAAAGTTTCTTGGCAAATCGGTCAAACTGGTAAGAATGTTAATTTTTAGCATTTCTAATCTAAGTATAAAGCTGTAGATAAATTTTCGTATGTCTTCTCTGAAAACGGTTTAGTGGTTCATAGGCATGGACGTCATGTAAACAGTACAGTATGTGTATCAATATTCCTTAACAAAATCTTACTTCAGAATATTGTCGAATATGTCGGCGAAGATATTCTTCAGGATTTAATCAATTTCGCTCTGCACTATATGTCGAATCTTCGGCTTCCGAAGAAAAGAGGAAATTTTATTGAATTTAGAAATGGTTTAATAAATATTTGTCCGATTGGACGAAGTTGTTCACAGGAAGAGCGAGATGAATTTGCACAATATGATGCGGTAAGGTTAGATTTTGTACATTAGAAGTTAATTATCTAAAAACCTTTGTGCAATTCGTGGAATTTTAGTAGTATGGATGCACTTCCACTAAAATGAGATAATTTTACATCTGATATATCCATGGTTCACACAGAAAAAATCGATGTGTAGGCGAAGTCTTGTTTTCTGCTGAAACAGTAATAAAATGTATTCAACATTACACTGCAAAACTTGATGGATAGATTTTCATCAGTGCCAAGCACTAATGGCTAGACAGCTTCTTGGGTTACCACAGTGGTGACCAACTAAAGTATGGAGAAAGTTGGTTTTACGCCTCATTGGTTGTGAAAAATTCACTGGCATATGATGTTAAGTTGCATATCTGTAAGTCATACGTATGAATCAGTATCAACGTGCGACTTGACATTACTGCGTAAAGGTTAGAGTTGCCGTACATCATAACAGCACATTACGGTTGAAGGCGCCAAAATAAAAGGTAAGTAAATCTGGAAGTAAATAATCAAAAGTAGTACAAAGTCGTAAAATGAGACGAGAAAGGGTTAAAATATTAACGAAATTACTTAAAGCGATTAAGATTAAGATAATGTGTGGATGCAGCTGCACCAGTAAGATTGATTCTGAAACATGTCACCTAGGGTTACCTCTAACCACCTATTTTGGTTGTTATGTGAACCCCCCTATCTGGAAGTCTACACTCGCCGAGATTCATCATGGTTAACGGTTGTTCAATGACTTTATTATCAGTGACGGTCTCATCTAGTTACTAAGAATCAATCCTTGTTAAGCAGAATATTTAGGACCTCCAATCTCCTTTGCCACCAATAGTAAGTAGTACGCGTTTGTTCGGAAATACAGGCAAACCTGGTGGCCGTGAGGACAAATACTCAACGATAACACTTGGTGGCGGTCGCGCTATATTGTGAAGTGATAGAAGTTGGGAATATGGACCATCGGATTCCGACCCATTGGTTCAGTGGTAACGTTGCTCACCAGGGAACCTGAAGGTCGAGGGTTTGATCCCTGACGGGGTCGTGGGTGCACACTGTTGAGTAGTCCCATACCAGGACGAAACAGCTGTCCAGTGCGCCCAGATTCTCAATGTTCCCCCAATTGATGTCAGTTTACGATGAATAACAACTTGAAATATCTCTAAATCCCCACAAACCCCTCAAATTCAATACAGTTATTTCCAGTGAAATCTACTGCATTGTTATCATTAAATAAATAGAAAGTTCATTTGTCTGTAATTGCTTTTATTGAATTTCATTATTGGTAAGATAAATCGAGTTATTTATAGTCGGATTATTCAGATCATCACTATGATGAATATTTTTATCAATGTTATAAGTATTGTGGCTGAGAAATGTGCTACGCATACCTAATCCTCGCCTGCCTCGTCGCGCAATGTTCGCTGAAGTGTGTTCAAGCTGGAAAAAGGATCGGAGCGGCAGACTAAAACATGGCGTTATTTTGTGAAATCTTTGACTATTGGCTTCAGCCATGTTGGGAGATGCACACTGGCTTGTTGGGGTCCACGTAACAGAAACCAGGGATTGGAGACTCTAAACGATATGGCTCAGAATCGGTATCATTGGCACAAATTTATCCAAACTATATCCTCATCTTAACTGCTATGCTGAATTCGGCATTTCCTCATTCATTCTTCATCTTTCATCTTACTACTTTGTCACTTTTGTGCTGAAATCAGGTGTAGTAACTTGGAACGTTAAGCACTAATGCCTGATCCTATGTTGATACTGATTGTTTGGATTGATTGTATGTATTTTTGTCGCATGTTGTTGGTTAAACCAGTGGCTTATAAATTTGTGTTCTCCCATCTTCTGTCTTAACCAGCGACTGTCTCTTTTCGTTTTAATTCAACTGCTAAATCTTCAACTAGCGATACTATTATAACTATAATCACCATAATTGTCATTCCCACAGTGCATCATTTAAATTTCCTTATGGTCTGCCGTCTTTAAATATCATATATGTATGGTTGTATGGCTTACAAACAGCCACCACCCACCTCGGCATGCCGTGCTAGGGTGAGTTAGATTAGGTTGGAAGTGGGTTCAGGTGGCACTAGTCGATGAAGTCCCTGTCTGTTGCCCTTAGCCGCGTTGGGGGATGTAGACTACCTGGCTGGGGTCCTTAAGATGATAGGAATCAGTGGTTGGGGACTGTTGGTGATATGGCTGAAAATTGATCACAATGGGGTTGGTTTGTTCACTATCTGATGTCTTCTACAGCTTGAATATTTGCGCTAACCTGCATTCTGAAATTTTTTATCCTCTCACAACTTTGTCTCTTCTTCTTCCCATTAGTTCTTTGTAAAGTGTGACAACTTGAGTCCATGTACTTTTGTGCAAGATTCTACGTTGATTTTGTTTGTCTTTCTGTCTGGCTTTAGAATAGTTTCACTGAAAGGTGTCTTTCGTTCTGAGCTTGTTATTTTGTCTGTATGACCATTCAATCAAGTCTGTACCTTTTCAGAAATTCAATTGTTATGGTTTACTCAGTTTTTATTTGGCTTTTAAACTTTACACTTCAAATATGTATAATAAGCTGGATTTTGTTGGAATCGTCCAGTTGTTTAGCCTAATATTAACAGCCTAGAGTATGTATGTATTCATAACAATGCAACCAAAACTTCTAATGACAGTCAAACGAAACAGCTGTCCAGTGCTCCCAGATTCTCAATGGTACCCCAACTGATGTCAGTCCATGAAACCTCGCCTGGTTAACTAGTTTACTAGTTACTAGCCGGTCCTAAGCCCGGGTAAAGGGGGAAGCTTTGGCGTAGGGCTAGCAACTCTACACCGTAAAACCAATCTAGTCGCTAAAGAAACTTCAAAGCACAAAGTAAATATAAAACATAAAAACAAACTTATTCCTCACTGGAATCGGGGAGACGAAATGACGTCGGTTGGTGAAAGCCTTTGGGAAGCCAATTGGCCGATGTGTCTCCTCTTCTCTCGATGAAAGCGAAAGTAAGGATGGGGACATGGAATGTCCGCATCATGTTTGAACCCAGCAAGGCAGCCCAGATTGCAAACGAGGTGAGAAGGTATCACATTGAAGTGCTAGGAACCTGCGAAAGCACATGGGATGGGAGTGGACTCTCCAAACTCTTAAGTGGAGAGTCAATAATCTACTCAGATATTGTCACCCAGACGACAGCCACAAGCACACTGAGTTTTGGAATGGCTGTCATGATGTCTCCAAGAGCATCGAAGGCTCCCATGCAGTGCGAACCAATCTCCTCCAGGATCATAACAGCAAGGTTCAACTCAAAAGGAAGGAAGGTCACAATCATACAATGCCACGCTATACACCTACAAGTAATGCAGATGAAGAGAAGGAGGAGGAATTCTGCAGACAACTGTAATCAACGCCGGACAAGACCTCAGTTGGCGACATCAATGCCAAACTGGGAGCAGACAACACAGGAAAAGAAGTAACCATGGGTCGAGAGGCACGTGGCGAAACGAATGAGAATGGAGAACTGTTTGCAGACTACTGCACATTTAATGATTTGGGGATTGCAGGCAGTGTGTACAAACACAAGGATATTCACAACGCGAGCGACATGGACTTCAGCAGATGGACACACTACACTGAAAATCAGGTCGACTTCATCTCAATCTCAAAGAAGTGGAGACGCAGCCTACTTGACACAAGGTCAAGAAGAGGAGCAGATGTAGGTTGAGACCACACACTATATAGTGCAAGGAACCTTCAAAATCAAGTTGGATGCCTTCAAAGAAGCTGGTGATAGACCACAGTTCAAGTTCAACGCCCAGAACAGAAACTGAAGGATAAAACTACAAAGGACATCTCCAGGTCAGCCATCAAGACAAAATGGGAGACATTGAGCAACACTGCTTAAGGATCGGGCGTGGAAGAACACTGGAGCTCTCTGAAAGAGATGTGGGAAGAAACCTGCATAACCCTATTAGGAAGGAAGAAGAAAGAAGATAAGGAATGGATCTCGATGGACACATGGAAGCTGATAGAGCAGGGAGAGGAGGATGGTGAAGCAGAAGATAAACCAATGCAGTGCAAGGATGAACGGCGAGAAGAGGATCTGAGTACAATGTATAGAACACTACACTGGACAAAAAAGTGAAGAAGAGTGCATGCAAAGACAAAAGACACTTCTGCGACACTGGCTAGTGAAGCAGAACAGGCTGCTGCAGGTAGGAGAGATAGAGACCTGACAACATTATATCAAATAACCAGAAAAGAGATCAACGGAGACGAAACCAATGAAAGATGATGAAGAAACTGAGTTGCGAACGAGGAGAACCAAAGGAAACGATGGGCCGACCACTTCAAAAAGCTTTTGAATCGACCATCACTTGCAACTCGTCCAGAAATACCGTCAGCAGCCACAAAACTACCAGTGAACACAAGCCCTCCGACAAGGGCAAAAGTCAAGTCCTGAAGTCCATAAAGTCGCTGAAGTACGGGAAAGCAACAGGATGAGATGGAAGTCCTGCAACAGCACTGAAAGCAGACCCAGAGACAACAGTGGACATGCTCACACCACTATTGCAGAAGGTTTGGAAGGAGGGAAGGAAAGGTACCTGTCTATTGATTGGAAGAAAGGCCATCTTATCAAACTCCCAAAGAAGGACGACCTAAGTCTTTGCAAGAACTGTCGCAGAATCATGTTCCACCTCTGTCCACCCCAAGCAAAATATTAAGCTGCGTCATCGTGGAAAGACCAAAACATGCTCTGGGTTCAAAATTACGACCGGAACAGGCTGGCTGGCTGGAGGAACAAATCATATGCGGATCAAATTGTAACGCTTCGCATCATCATAGAACAGAGTATAGAATGGCAGTCAACTCTCTGCCTCAACTTTATCGGTTTTGAAAAGGCCTTCGACAGCGTTGACCAAGAAGTAATTTGACAGGCAACTGCCTCAACACTACGGAGTGCTACAAATCTTTATCAACCTCATTCGACAGCTATATGACGACGCCTCATGCCAAGTGATTCACAATGGAAAGCCCAGTCATGCCTTTGAAGTGAAGTGGAGACAGGAGTAAGACAAGGTTGCCGCCTACTGTCACCGGTGATCTTCCTGATTGTGGTCGACTCGACTGGATCATTTTGAGAAACTATGAGGCGCTGTGAGAAGATGGGAGCCATTAGTTCAATACGTGACATGTATGCATCAGCTAATAATGGTCCTAATGGACTCCCCATAGAGACACCATCAGTTTGCCGAAAGTGTTTACCTTTGAAGGTGAAATAGACTTTATCATTACATAATAAAACGAGCTCTTTGAAATGCATTGGAGAAATATGGAAAGAAGGATAATTCAAAGGTATATAATCGCAAAGAATTTTAACTGTCTTCATCAGGGATACATTCGTAAATGAAGAGTTGACATTAAAAGAGTACATTTTTTTATCTCTCAAATATCAGTAAGACAATCATTAAATTCGAAAGTATCTTTCAGTGAATACTTACATAAAGCATTACGAATCGGGCTCAGTATTCCGGCTTAGCATTTCGTCAATTTGTCTGTGGGATATGGACAATATTGGGCGTAGTGGATTATTAATTTTATAACATTTTTGGAAGTCCATATAGATCTGGTAAGCTAGATTCCATGTGTTTTAAGGAGTTGAACTCCGCTTTAGCAATAACATCCATATTAAGGAGTTTAACTAGGCTAAATGTTATTTTTTCTCCTAATTTGTTTATATCCTCTGATGGAGCATCCGCCATGAATTCACTTTCATCACAAAGAATAGGCATTTTATTTTGGTACTCAACTTTGTTCAGCAACACAACACCTGATCCTTTGTCGGGCTTAATAAGTATCACACCAAGATTATTCTGTTTTTCAGGGACTTAAAGTGCTGCGTAGTTGAAATGCGTCTCTGTTTCGGACCTTGATCATGGAATTGATGGACAATATCAACTAGTTTAACCTTCAGTTAACTCCGGTCATCAGAAGATAGCATAGTATTAACGTCCTAGACTATGCATGCATTCATAATAATGCAACCAAAACTTCTAATTACAGTCGAACGTTTTAACATTAAGCTTGAAAGAGTTCTCCGTGTAACTTAAATTAAAAAAAATTCATATATAAATCAACTTGACAAGTAAATGTAGGATCAGATTGCTCTAAATATTTGGCGCAAATACACATCACACATTTTTCAGGTAATTTTCATCTTCTAATGACGTTATAGAAACATCTGTTAGTAACAGTTTCAATAAATTTGTCTACATCGCTGATATTCATGCTTCAGTTAGTCTAAATCTTGATGTTCCTCATTCACGTATCATTTACAGAGACCGTGATTTACGAAACCATACTCTAATTAATGAAGTAATTTCATTCGTATATTGGGAAATGTTTTGTAGTTTCCGTGTTAGTCACCTTAGTTTACTTTCTCATAACATCAAAACTGTTGAGTTACTTAGTAAGAACGATGTTACGTTTATTTTTATGTATGCATTGTATTATTAAACTTTTCTAGGAGCATAAAATCCGAGAGAAATTTGTTAATGAAATGCGTTTGAAGTTTCACTCAAGTCCTCTGCAATTTGCTATTGGTGAGTTAACAGTACAGTTACCATATAATGATATGAAGAATGAATGTTTTATGTCTTGACATCTTTTTTAATACAGTTATACCGCTAACCAGATAACTAAACTTCTCAGACTGCAGTCGACGACACTATCTGCTATTGAATGTTCGTAAAGTGTTTGAGGTTCTAAGTGAATTGATATGAGAGATACCGACCAATAGCCACTACCTTAATGTTGTAGTCGGGCTTGTATATCACAATGACCCAAGGAGCTAAGCTGGCTGAGACGCTTGTTCTTTTGATGTCCTACCATGTCAGAAAGGTCTGTTAGATAGTGGTAAGATGAAAAACAGTTACCGTTGTAGAGTAAGATTATACGCTATAATGGGGCTTCGAGGGCGAAGTCGTACTGCTGACTGGATGGGTTTTGATAGCAGCAACAGTACTACGCTGATGCTGCCTTCCCTGCGGGAAGGGAGGTGGGTTAGAAAAGGTCGGCCCCAAAAACAGCACACTTCGTGCCCCACGGTCTTCCAAAGCCCGACTTTAGAACAACCAAATCTTAAAACAGCAATCCCCAGAGAAAGGCCTCAAGTAGATTTCCCATGGGCTCTGCGGTCGCAAAAATCTTTATCTCTTTCAGGTGCCTTAAGAAGAGATAACCTATGGTGTTGGCAGCTGGGAAGTGTCGTCTACCCATTCGTTTCCAGTAGTACACAAGACCAAATCAAGCATAACTTATCCTCCTCAACTCTGTCTTCTCCTTCGCCTTCACCTCCTGATACTAATATTAAACATCTTACACCTTCCCCAACCTCTCACTGTGCGACCATTGCAAACGACGGAAGCCATCGAAACTTCATTCCTAGTCTCTTAAGACTCCGTCATCGTTTCTACGTAGAAGCTCTCAACATCTGAACTCTATGCCAAATCGAACAGCAAACATCGCTCATCAGAACTCTGGAATCTAGTCATGGATGTGTGTTGTGTATCGGAGACATGGATACAAAACCTGAATGTAGTTATTCACTTGCACTCACCTAACTTGTGGAGCGGATCTTCAAAATTCACCTTATGAGTGTCCGGAGATCCAATGGCTAGCTCTCGTGGCCTCACTGGTATAGGCATTACATTGAGTTGTAGGGCAGAAGATCCGCTTCTCGACTGGATATCAGTAAAAAGCCACCTGAGTTGTTCAAATGAATGAATTTGTAAAGACTAGGAAGGATCGCAGGACTAGGCGATGCCTATTCGTGGTCGCTGCCTTCGTTCCCATTGACTGTAGCTGGAATGCTGCAAAGAATGAATTCTAGGGGAAACTGTCAATTCTCTTGTAGAAAGCGAACCGTTCAGATGTAGTCATAGTGATAGTGACTAGCACTCACGTAGGGATGTTGAGCCAATTAGAAAGGCATCCGAGATGCATTTACAGAATCTCATGCCAACAAACGGACAACGGCGATTGTCTATTGCAATTTAAAATCGAGCAATAACAACAGCTTTAGCAGAATAGCATGGATCCATTTTATTTCTTGGTTTCTCATCAGCTTCTTACAACCTAAAACAATTCTAACAGCAACTGATAAGAAATCACGAAATAGTTTGGATTCATGCTATTCTGCTAAAGCTGTTTTGTTGCTGTATTTAAATTTGTGAAGGGAAGAAATTGTATAAAACATTGGAATTTTGTTGCAACAATCACTTGATTCTTGCCAGCAGTAACTCCAAGCAAATGGAAGGACACTCACGTGGCGTCCACCGACTTCAAACCAACGATTGACACAGATAGGTCATTTCGCTACAAGCCATGGTAAGAGAGGACCGCTGGAGGATCGCCGCTCTTTCTGTAGTACCAGTTTGATTTCAGATCATGTTTTAGTACGTGCTTGTGCATGTCTGGGCTTTACTGGTTGATGTTAACTAGCGATAGTAAAACCTGTCTATGCTCAATTGGAAGATGACGTTATCAAGTATGTATTTAGGGAATAGAGAGCCAAGAATTTATGTGTACGAGACAGCAATGCTCATCCCGAGGAGACCTGGTGTGGAACTAAGTCTGTTGTAGAAACAGAGGTAAAGACAGTTGGCAACATACATCTGAAAGTTAGAAAACGTCATTGGATTTCCGAAACGTCATTCAAACTGACTGATGCAAGAAGACTGATTTCAGCTGGCTTTGACCACGATAAAGAGCGAATGCAACTTAAACGTAAATTTATCATGAGTCTTTGCAATGAACGCGAGCAGTAATGGGTGGCTAGAGCGAGAGAGATGAAGAAGGCATCAGCGTTAGGTAAAACACAGTGTGGTTAGTAATAACGGAGTGGAGATAAGTTCTGTAGAGAGGATGCTGGATTCATTTCGAAACAGAATGCTTCACATGAATATAATAAGAGCGAGAAAGCTGGAGAAGATATCAGCAATAGGTAACACCCGGCAATTATTTAGACTTGTTTAGGATACCGACAAGAAGAAGAAGAAGACGATGATTAGTGAAACTATTAAGGAAAGGAATAGGACGCTGATAACCTCAGGACAGGTGGCCAGGATGGTGAGCTGAGCACTTTAAAGTATAGTTCAACTGGCCCAACATCTAACCTGAAACTGAACGGGGCGTAGATGTCGGTTCTGCAACTCTCTTTGAAGTTGAAAAAGCTGTATTGAACCTCAGATGATGGAAATCAGCAGGATCTAAATGTTTGACATCCGGAGTTTCCAAGGATGAAGGTAGAAAATTGCTAATTAAAGTCCAGAGGTACTAGAAAATATGTGGGAATCAGAGGTATTACCGTCAGACTAGTCCACTTCTCTGACGATTCCAGAAGTCTCGTGAAAAACAGGCGAATCAGTCTGACTAACGGCATGTCCAAGGTCCTGGGGTTCACAGTTATCCGATGCCTTTCTGGAGCTCGATAACAACAAACTCGAGAGAACCAGGCAGGTTTTAAACTCGCATAAGGGTACGTCGATCAGATCTTCACCCTACAACAGGTTCTGGAACACAGCCATATTAACCGGCGGCCGACACTTGCAATAGTTGTTGACCTAAGGGCGGCATTTAACTCTGTTGACCGTAAGATGTTTTAGCAATGTTTGACTGTGAAGAGAGTACCGAGCAAGCATGTAACGTTAATCAAATCTCTCTATAAGAAATGACTCAACCGTTTAAGGGCTCATGTGAAGTTGTCATCAGAACTGATGACAAAAAGTAGTATCTACCAAGGATGCTTGCTGTCACCATTTCTGTTTAATTTCGTTCTAGATGTGCTAATGGAAATTACTTTAGGTATATCTGACTTCACTGGGATCGGCCTACTTCCTAGAGGGCATCTGGTTGACTTGGAGTATGCAGACGATATTGTTCTGTTAGGTGAGAACGCTGACAAAATGTAGGGTCTTCTTAGGAAGTAGTGGTAGAATGTGTCGACCACTCCACTTGGGGAGTTGCATCAACCTGAAGTGAGTGATTGCTGACGAAATCTCAGTTAGGATACAGAAGGTTGGTTTAACATTTACCAACTTGCGTCATTTCTTGCGCTAACTGGTGAGGTATCCAGCTATCTATCAGAGGACGAGTATACTGTACTGGAATTCGTTCCGTCCTTTCACGTGGCTGTAAGACATGCCCATTGAAAGTACATTTGGGGCAGTTTTGATCACATATGTCTTCGTAGCGTTGCTTGCGTCTAGTGTTGTCACCTTGTGGGCAATGTTGAGGTCAGGTGAAAGGTACTACGCAAAATAGGCAAGTCGATTGATGAGGCTGTGAACCTTCACCGGCTGAAGTGCCATGGACATGTGTTGCGCATGCTGATCCACTCACCGCCTATACTGATGTGCCATGCTAAGGGAACGTGGATTAGGTTGGAAAAGGTTTCAGGGTGGCCAAATCAAGATATGAAGTAACTGACTGTTAGTCTGAACCATGTAAGGAGGTATAGATTGCCTTGCTAGGGTTTTCGAAACTATACGAATCATTGGTTGAGGACTCTTGGTGAAATGACTAAAAACTGGTCACAATGGTGCAGATGTATTCACTTGCCGATGTCTTCTAGAGCTTGATTATTTGCACTAACCTTTATCTACAAATTATTTATTCTCTCATGCACCTTTTCCTACTTTGATATCAGCTTCTTTCTCTCCACCTGTGCTTTGTATGCTACTATGAAGTGTGATAACTTGAGGTGATGCACTTGTGTGCGAGATTCTACGTTGATTTTGTCTATCTGTCTATCAACCTTTAATGGCCACGCTTCAAATCCGTAGAGAGGAACAAAGTGAACTGCAATACAGTATATTTGGCCGTTAATGGGTGATCGGTACCATAAACTACTTAGGTTGACGAAAAATAAGTAAGCTTTTTTACATACAGTTCTTCGCCTTAGTAAATTTTAATGGTGAGAACAACAATTTTAACAGAACAGCATGGACCTATCTTAGTGGTTGGATACTAGTTAAAATGGCGCAGATATATCTGCACATTATCCTCATCTTAATCGTCATAATGGATTCAGTGTTTTCTTATTCCTCTCTCATCTCTGTTACTACATTCTTCTGATTTTGACCAGTTCTTCCTAATCTCTTTATCTTCCAGCTTAGTGCTTTCTCGCTTAATGTGATGATATAAAGTATGGGAACTTGAACCGTTATGCACTAATGCTTGATCCTATATCGATGGTGTATTCACAGCTGGCTTATAATTCAACCAACCTAGCATGACATAGCTACCTTCCTACCGGTGTTTTTTTAGTATTTACAATATTATTCTTATAACTTTAGCTGTAGAAATTGATATTCACGCTTTACAACTAGTTTTCGTTGTATGCTGAGACTGTTGTCATTGCTGCTATTATTATTATTATTACTATTATTATCTTAAAGTAGTATTCATCACGGATAGATATCAGTTAGAGAACCACTGAAGACCTGAGAGGACTGGTTAGCTGTTTCGTCCACGTTTTGGACTCTTCAGCAGCACACATCTATGATCACCGCCCAGCCATTGATCCAACTGAGAACCTTCAGGGCGAATGAGTTAACCACCCAGCTACTGAATCAGGTTTCAATGGTTCACAGTTTCCTACCTTTGTCAATTTGCGATGTAGCGTAACTGTCTACCAAGATCTTCAATTGACATACACCACTTCTGACTGGTTGACCTCACAGGCTATGGCTTCGCATTAGAACTTCAGGACACCCATTTTGAAGCATGTCACTAATGAGCACTATACAGTACTGTGGTTAGAGGTTTATCTGGATCATATTTTTAAGGTCATATACATGGTTCTGCAACTGATGTCATTCGGTGATGAATGCTACCCTAAAAATAAAGTCATCATCACCCTCAAAATACATTATTATTATTATTATTGTTACTATGTGTTATTACTATTTTTATTATTGTTACAGGTGGACAAATAAGTATCGATGTTTTCCCAAAAGGTTGGGATAAACGCTATTGTTTACAATTTCTCAAGGAGTACAACACCATTCACTTTTTTGGTGATAGGACAGAAGAGGTAAGCCAGGTGACACCAACACAATTTTGTAATATACCTTAGGGAGGGGAGGGACCTACGTGTGTGTATGTCTGTGTGCATTTCACGATGAGTTGAGTCCCTCTGCAAATTGATATTCAAATCTTGACTCAATTTCTTCTCGTTATCACTATTTCAGCCTCTTTATTCCGATTCACTTCAAGTTCTTGGTGTTCGACATGTGTGGTTTCCAAGAACAAATATCTTTAACTCATATTTGTAAAAGGTGCCTGATGATAAGCAGTTGAAATTTCACTTTTTCTGCCCCTCATACACCACTTGTTCTTGACGCGTTCTCTGAATTTTAATCGGCTAACTTTTGTTCTCTAACTCAAGTATATTTCTACTGTGTATAAACCAATGAGCTGTACCTGTGTAGATATACCCTCTTCAGTTTAAGTAAACATCTTTAGTCCAGTACTGTCATCTTCTTCTTAAGATAAGCTGGTCTATTTGTGAAGAAGTGATCATTCATTGTATGTAATCCAGTCTTACAGGAGGTTAGTCGTGACCCTAATAACTCAGTGGTAACATCACTGGCTGCAACGTGGGTGACGCTGGTTCCTATCTCAGAGATGACGTCATTTATTTTAAGGTTTCAGATACGCCTTATTGACGAGTGACAATAGGTACGAAATGTAGGTCAGGTAGGGCTTTGTGCCGATTGCATCCAAATAACTTATACCCAACAAAGGGCACTTTGATAGTGAGCCTCCTAGCTTGATTACCATATTGCAAAATGTTCGATAGAATTCGTTTACAACTTAGGGCTAAGCAACATGAAATTAGTTGCTCCTTCAGTGACCAATCAATTTAAGTCGTATCACGTTCATCACTGCATCAAGATGAAACTTATAGAACTTAGTATAACCTCGAATCTTAACACCTGTTTTGTCTAACTGTGCCATTTTTCCCTTAATCCCCTTACTTATTTTAAATCCCTTGCCCTTTTATGATATGTAACACATATTCAATAAGTGTAGTTTTCCTCATTTAGTCATCAATATCAACATAAGGTCAGGCATAACTGCTTAAAAGTCAATGATGCGAAAACCAATCGAGCCTATTGTATCCGTGCGGAGATTTTGTTGGCCACTGACCCACTAGGTCTGATTCAATTTCCCAGGTAACTGAAGTATTCAGCGCACCCAACCACTCCAGTCTCCATTGTTAACCGGGGCACTGATGTAGACCACTGCTGAAGTAAGAATTTGCGTATAGGTGGCAAGAAACGCATCCTAAACATTCTCAAACTTACCACTCAATGTGCTCAGAAGACTCTGCATCTTGTCAGCGTCTTCACCTAACATGACTATATCATCTGCGTATTCTGCATCTACCAAGGAGTTCCATGTAGTTAAATCAATCCCTGTGGAGTAAGACGACGAGAGGGAGACCTCCATAAGAACTTTTCTGACCAAAGTAAACAGGAATGGACACCACTCGACGTACCTAGCTCACCTGATAACTCACTATAGGCTCTAACATGCCTTTGGGTGTTAGAGTAAAGAGTCTTTAACAGAATGATGTACTAATTGGGACACTGTCATAAAACCTTTCGACCGGAGAAGTTGAGTTCCACCTTCTGTTTGAGAAATACAGCTAATATCGAGCATCGGTAAGCGTACCTGTGTCCCCTAACCTGACAGAGTGTAAATATCTGATCGATACAGCGACGACCAGGTCTGAAGTCTGTCTGGTTTTCTCGGGCTTGCTGTTCCCAAGCTTCACTCAGACGTCTGATGATTATAGGATCTAGAGTCTTAGACACATAATTCGTCAGGTTGATTCCTCTGTGGCTATTACAGGAAGGCTTCTCATCTTTCCGGAATACTGGAACACTCAGTGATTGAGACCAGTTAGATGGGATCGTATCTGGCTCCTATCTATAAGATTTTATTTGTACATAGTCTGTTCTACGTCGTCCCTATAAATAACCAACCTTAATCATAATCGGCAGATAGGTAATTACTCCTTATTATTTGTTTTTATTACATCGCAGTGATTTTAGCATTCTGTGAAGACAGTATTTTATTATCAAAGTAATAGGTTATTGTATACAATACGTGATAAAACTCTGAGATTGTTTTAAACCGTAAACAGTTGAAAAATTTCAATGATGAAAGAAATGAAGGGGAACTCATACTATTTTCGGTTTCAATAGTTGTTCTCACTTCAGTCAGGTAGCGTTCTTTTTTATACCAACTGTGGTCATAGATCTATAAAATACAAAATGAGTAGGATACGCTAACTGTACGCAAATTGGAGGTTGGTATTCATCATAGACTGACATCAGTTGGAGAACCACTGAAAACCTGTGAGCACTAGATAGCTGTTTCGTCCTAGTATGGGACTTCTCATCTCCTGCTTTAATTCCAGGTACTTTTTTTCAGGGTTTTCTTTTAGTGAGGATCAGTCTTCTTTATAGATGTTTCCACTTACCTGACTGATGACTGAAAAAATCAGCGTAGAACCTCAGACACAGGTGAGTCGGCTCAAGTTGCCACAATTCACAGTAGTATACAAAGAACAGGTGGGTAGAAAAAGACTGATATCAAACGAGACAAAGTTATAAGACGATGAACAGTTTGAATATATAGGCTAGAAGATGTCATGGAGTGAATACATCTGCGCCATTGTCACTGATTTTCAGCCATTATCACCAAGAATCCTCAATCACTGATTCCTATCGTCTCGAGGACGCTATCCAGGTAGTTTACATTTCCCTACATGGTTTCGGTCGACAGGAAATTCATTGACTAGTGCGTCTTGGTCTGGTCATCTGAACCTTCTTCCAACCTAATCCAACTTTCGCTAGCATGGAATATCGAGGTAGGCGGTGGTTTCAGCATACGCTGTACACCTCGTTGAGTTATTCTTTCTAACCAATTTAATCTGATTGCCTGTACACCCTCCATATCATTCATCTTCACTACACTTTATTACCTAAAATTGTCTATTCAATAGCATCGGACATTTTATCAATGTGTAGTTTTCCTTATGTATTTGTGGTGTAGCTTTCTCACTGTCTATCTATTCCAGGGTGGAAACGATCATGAGGTATTCAGTGATCCACGAACTATCGGTCATACAGTTACATCACCAGAAGATACGGAAGTTCAGTTGAAATCATTATTTCCAGACTGTTTTTAGTCATTTTATGAACACAGCTGGTGTCTTTTAGTATTTAATCGAGGTATTTTGACTTATGTAAACTTTTATGGATCATCTATGTACATGAACTATAAGAGATGGGTATTTCGTTTTTAAACAGCTGTAGTTTCTTACTACTTGTTTCGTTTTTTGTTGTTTTGTTTCTCGGTCACTTGACTGCTGTGATGATTTGCCAGTTCATATATTTGCTTAATGATGTATTCAATAGGAGTGACAGGTTTATTTTAAACCTTGATTTGACGTTTTCTCTCCTTTGAAAGGTTCAACATACATCTTAGTGTGAACATCAACAGAAGTCTTAGACTTTTAAGCTTTAAGTAATTGTTGTTAGATTCTTAATATTATTATTGTTTTTACTGAATTCTAATTACATTTCTTCTCACCCATATAGTATAAAAACTTATATCACAAAATGTCTTTCAGCCAACGGTTTTGACTATATTATATGATAAATATTATTGGCTAACTGCTATACTTTCGAACGCCAACGGTTATATATTCCGAACGAATATAACAGCACGCTTAGCTGACAGCTAACTTGGTACGCAACAGCCACTGACTGCAACCCCAGGACGAATAGAGAGAAGACCGAAGCTGGATGATGCGAGAGTTTATTACTCCGAGAATATAATAATCAATCAATCCAAAAGCACGTGAATGTGTATACACATGAAAAATGACCTTGCCTCAAATTTGAGACATTTACATAGTAAGAGTAAAGATTAACCAGTCAGCGAATTACATCACAATGGGGGTGGGGGCAGAAAGTAAACTACTAGTCACACCGTGAACAGAATGGTGTGGGAATGACACGTCATTATGTTCAGATCAATAACAATGTTTGATACAAAACTGGGGCATCACAACACTAACTGAATTATTTGTTGCTGAAAACATGTGAAATCTGGCTTTTCAATACATTTCTTTCTATTCGGTTTCGTTTTGACAGGTGTGTGTCCAAAGAGGGGGGGTTCCCCGAGGAAGGGTAATAGGCAAGTCGATTGATGAGATTGTGAACCGAGGTGGCTTGGATGTGTGTTGCGCATGCCGAGCCACCCACTTCGACATGCCATGACAGAGGAAATTGGATTATGCTGGTCTGAACCAAGTAGAAGGGTGTAAACTACCTAGCTAGGGTCTGTGAGATGATTCGATTCAGTGGTTAGGAACTCTTGGTGATATGGCTGAAAATCGATCACAACAGCGCAGATGTATTCACTATCTGACTTGAATATTCACACTATCCGTTATCTTTAAATTGTTCATTCTGTTACACAACTTTGTCTCATTTGATTTCATTTTTTTTTCTATCCACCAGTTCTTTGTATACTAATGGGAAGTGTGACAACTTGAGGCGATGCACTTATGTGGGAGGTTTTATTTTGGCTTTTTATGTTGAAATAGTGTTCGGACTGGTGACGCATTTGCTGAAAAATGGATAATCTAGTGAGCTACAGTCGGCTACCAGATAATTAAACATTGATCACCTGGAAAGCACTCTGTTCTGTTGGTGATCGACCTCAAGTGTTTGTTCATTAGCAAAGGAGTGTATTCAGTGCAGTCTCATAACATGCTATAAACGCAGAGAGAACAACATTCGTACTGTTAACAACAGCGTGTAAAGAACAATTGGATAGGAAGGGTGGTATCAAAGTAGACAAAACTGTGTCAGCGAAGAAAATTGAAGGATGATCAAAATGGTTGAACTTTCTAAGATATCAAAGAGTGATTGTATCTATGCTATTGTAACTGGTTTTTCAACCATGTCACCAATGAACTCCAACCACTGATTCCCTTTATTTTGGTGA